ATAAAAAATATATATAAATTATAAATAAATAAAATAAAAATTGATATGCTAACGTGTGCCTGCTACTTTTTATATATTTTAACACACACATATATACATGCTCCAGAACATTCAAGCTTGGCAGTATTAGGAATATATATTTATATAAATAGCGGATCTTGCTTATGATGTTCGCTTTGCATATTTACAGACATCTATTGGTATCCTCTTTAAGGATAATGATAACGCTCAAAACAATAAACTTGTTCTCTCTCTCTTTCTATATCATCTTAAAGGTATAGCAACTTTTAGCCATCTCATCTCTCTCTCTTTCTCTCTCTCTCTCTCTCTCCCATCAACACCCGAGAACACGTTCTGCAATAGCTACATATGATTGTCTCACGCTTTTGGAATGCCAATTCGAGTATGCGAAGAAGCGTGCTGCCAGTTTAAGTAAACCCTTCAACATTACTCAAAATAATAAGACGCTTTGTTATTAGACAACAAAATATTAACTTACAGTATTTTTATATTCATATATTTCAATCTATATTTAAGGTCAAAGGGTTCTATTCTAATATATTGTATAATATTACAATAGATCCCTTTTGACCTTGAGTCACTCAGTATTTAATTGCGTTAGCATTGTCAATAACTTTTCGTGCTGCCCTCGCACATATTTGCGCAGAGGTTCGTGCCACATTCCACATGGGCGACACATGAAAGTTATTACACTTATTATATGAAGAAAATAATTTTATGTGCGTGTCTGCTTGTGCGCGAGTGTGTGTGTGTGTGTGTGGGTGCGCGAGTCTTCAACGCATTGCGTCCTGTCGTTGGCAGCAGAGAGAGAGAGAGGGAAAAAAAGAAGAAAAATTAAAAGCAAAGTCTTCATCTGAGTGCGGCTTGCAGCAGGGTGATAAGAGCTCATATGGGCGCATGGGCGCATTGTAGGCGTGGCACTTGTCTGTGTGTGCGTATGTGTGTGTGTGTGTGTGTGTGTGTGTGTGTGTTTGTGCACGTGTAAATTATATGCCGCACTTTATTATATAATAACGAGTAATAATGATTACACACACAAGCCGACGCACACACACACACACACACACACAGAAAGAAAGTAAGTCACTTTCTCGCATAGAAATTTCATTAATTTAGTTCGTTAACGAAAACTACTTCAACTTATTTGCCAGCTTTACTAGCTGTTGATGTTGTTCTTCTCGCCGCCTAGTTATATTCATGATGAACGAAGCACAAATAGAAAAAATAATAATAATAATAAAAAAAAAAAGAAAATACAAATAAAACAACAACAACAAAAGGCGATGAAAAAATATTTTAAATGCGATTTTATCATGTCGGGCTAAGCGGCCGACCCAAATAACATAAAAAACATAAACCCAAAAGAGGAAAAATATCACAGCGACAAAGTCGGAGGCGGAGAAAAAATGAAAACAGAAAAAGAAGCAGCAGAGGAAGAAACACAAAAAAAAAAAAAGAAAAAAAAATACAAATAGAAATGATATTTATATAGAGACACGTCGCAGCATCCCGTTCGCAGTGCCTGCGACTCATTCTTATGGCGCGGCCACGCCCCCCTCCGGGCTGGGATGTTGGCATTGTGCAAATGCTGCCCCATTTGTCAGCTGACACAAATTTGCATAAGCGCCGCACAAGCAAGCGGTTGGATGACTTATGGCTGGCAGTGCCGTTGCCCAGCCCGGTACGCTCCGCACCCTGCTGCTGCTGTTGCTGCTGCTGCTGCTAGTCCGCCTCCTCCCTGGCCACCCACCCAGCCAGTCCAGCTACCTTTCCGCCTTGCCACATGCCACAAACTTGGCCTCCTTGTCACCGCCTAATCTCACGATCCAAAAATTTTCTCGTTGAAATTAGCTGTTAAATGCGCCAGCAGCAGCAGCAGCGGCAGTGACAGCGGCAGAGGCAGCGACGGAAATGACATAGAAATGAAACAGAGTAGAGAAACAATAGCAACAGCACAGAACGATGCTGTCAGACGGCTGCACGGCATGGGGCATGGGGCATGGAGCATGGGGCATGAGGCATAGGGCAGCCGGATTGTATGAGCGATTGAGATACAGTTGCCCCAAAGACAAGCCCAAAGAGCTGCTGCTCCTGCTTCTGCTGCTGCTGCTCCTGCTCCTGCTGCCGCTAACCGCAAAGGCGCCACAGCCAGTTGCACAATGACAAAGTCACAAGTGTCACAAATCTGAGGCCATATGTGACCCGAAAGCAGCTGAGAGTGCCGGAGATATATCAAATGAAGCACAAATGGAACGTATATACATATGTATTGGAGTATTTGAATGATATATGCGTCGATTCCAAATAAGAACAAATATGAACATCTTTAGCTCAAATATCAAAAGAAACTGCAGATATAGCATATTCAATATGCAAATTTCCTGCTTTTTCTACACTATATCGGAGTATCTATATCTATATATTATTATATGAGCAGCAACTTTACAAATGGGATATTGCATGTCTGTATCGTAATTCTACAAATAGCTTTTTAATTTTTTTATCTTCAAATTGAAACCAAAGCTTAAAGAGATCCACACAGAGCTGAGTCATGAATATTTATGTTCATAATAATCATGCAGCTCAAATATCTAGAGAAACCTATATATATTGTTGAATGAACAGCAAGTGTTCCGCTTAATCATAATACATCTGCAGATAAATGAAGGTTCCATTCCGTAAATGAATGCTATAGCTCCTTCTTGATCTCCACAGATAGCAAGATCATATAGATCTGTCGTTCTCTGCATTGAAATAAATGGAGGTGGAAAAGCAAATAAAGCCAATATATTCATATATAATGAATATACCATAGAGAATATAGTTCAGCGGCAGATAAAGAAGGCGCAAATCGGTATATAAATTCCTTAACTTCTTCTTCTCGCTTTCAACCACATAATATTCAATGATATATACATATAATATGGATTAACAGTCTCATATACACTAAAGTCTGGTTATAGCGACGCTCAAGGGAACACCGTTATACCTGGAAGACGCTATATTCATAGGGGTTTACTCATATGCGTTTGTCTGGGGACCAGAATTTTCGTCGCAATATACAGCGGAGTCATTATAGCGATATTCTATTGTATATCATTTTATTTTGGATGGAATCTATATTAAATCTGTCGATATGAAACTGGAAGCCTGTAACTGAATTATATAACTTCTTCTTCTTCAGCTTCCACACACATATTATAAGGATCTCCTCCCATACATACGCTCTCGGCATTTTCTTTAGGCCTCTCGGTCGGTCGTCGCTGACACTGAAAAGTATTGCAAAGCGGCATTTCGAGTGTTAAATTGTTTCACAAATCACGTGACACTCAGCGTGGGGCGAGTGGCGGCCATATCGGCGCCCGCAAGGCCCAGGTCCAGCGTTGATAAACAAAGGAGAAAATAAACTTTAATGGCTCAGGCGGAGCCGAAGGGCCGAGGCAGAAAAAAAAAAGAACGGAAAAAGAAATGTGTGTGTATATGTATACAAAATATGAAACGAACGAGCGAGCAAGAGGGAAAGAGAGAAAAAAAGAGAGAGAGAGAGAGAGAGAGAGAGAAAGGGAGAGGGAGAGCCATGAAATAAAATAACATAAAGCATATAAGCAAGATAGCTAAAAGGAAAAGGACCGTAATACACAACCACACACACACACACACACAAACAAATAAACACACACACACACTCGTATCGCAAACACTTAAAGCACGAAGGAAAATTTTGAGAAAATCATCAAGATGAAGCTGAGGAAGGGGGATGGTCAGCCGGCGCTTGGGTCGCGCATTCAGCTGCTTGTCGTCATTGTCGACGTCATTATAAGCATAATCTTTAATAAACGAGCGGGCGCCTGGGAGCACAGTGGTCTCCACGCTCCACGCTCCACGGTCCGCGGTCCGCGGTCCAGCCGCCGCGGGCAACTCTCAAGCGGCCGCAAATGAACGATGAGTGGGCAGTGGAGGGTGGCGAGTAGGAGGAGCATAGCTAAAAATATGAAGAGCGTGGCGTGGTGTGGTGTGGCGAGTGGTGCAGGCAGAGCGAAAACAGAGCGCGGCTTGGACGCTGTTTTCTGAAGTGAAGAAACTTTTAAATTCATTTAGACATAAGCAGCAGCTCTTTAAACTTCTCTCGCACGGCTCCTGGGCAGCTTGGCCGCCTTTCGCCCCCTGCCAGCCCCGGCCAGCCCCGGCCAGCTGCCGGCTGCATTCGGTGCTTATGCTAGCTCTTAAGGGGTTTCCAGCCTGTTTGCTTTGGCTCAGCGGCAGAGCGAGGCGTCTGCCCAGCTCAGCTCAGCTCAGCTCAGCTCAGCTGCAAGTTCTTCGGCCCCGTTTGTCGGCCAAAGGAAACGTAATGTACACTAAATGGATATTTAATTACACTTTGCCCGGCTCGGCTGAGTGTGGCCCACACCTGCACCTGGCCAAGACCAGCTGGCCCGGCCCCGTTAAGTGGGCCGCTGCTGGGCCTTGCCGGGCTCTTAAATACTTATGAACTATGCTCCAAAGATTTACTATTTCCAGCGCTCCACACACACTAATTGAATTTCAAAGGCCATTTTATTGATTAACCAGAAACGAGAATTTTGCGTGCCTCTAATTCCCAAGGCTCACATGACGTATGCGCATTTTTATTTATTTATTTTTTTTAATATTTGAATATTTTATTCCATTTATGTTGCAAGGTTCGGCTGGGCCAGTGACTCGCATTGCATTCATTCATGCACATCCATTGGCAAGTATCTGTCGAGACTTTAGTCAAGGCAAAGCTGAATTTGTTTGCATAACGTTGCGTATACGCAATATTGGCAAATTTTCTAATATTCAATAATAAATTAATTGACAGCACTTGATGTGTGCATGTGTGTGTGTGTGTGAGAGAGAGAGAGAGAGTGAGATGGAGAAGGAGAGATAGATAGATAAAGTGTTTATGCCTTCTTCTAATTGATTGCTATGCATATTACGCATACGCCTCGTGCAACGAATGCAATTTTAATAGATTTAGTGAAACAAAGTAAACTTTTCACTTCACATTGATCAATCAATGAGTAGTAAATAATATTAGTCACACAGTTTCAAAATTAAACTGTCGCCTGCATTGAAATTTTAATGAATTTTCGAAAGTCTTTCTCGATATATATTGTGTGTGCGTGGCATGTATTTCATGTATCAAAGTTGCAATTAAATTGTAGAAAACTGCTGAGAAGCATGTGTGCGTGCTCGCCTTAGCGATTGCCATCGATTTAAAGCCAATTTGCGTGCTAACAAGGGCCGCCCCAGCTGGCAGGCAGGCAGCTGTTCTTTGGACTATGGAAATGAAGTGCAAGGCTCGCAGACTTTGGTTTATGCTAAGGACTAACTGCAAAAACATATCTATGTGAGTGTGTGTCTGTGTGTGTGTGAGTGGCATATAGCAGTTGTTGGCTTAAAAGTCTATCTCCCTCTCTGTTTCACTCGCCCTCTCTCTCTCTATCTCTTTCTATTTCTCTTGCTTTCTCTTTGATTGTCATTCCGGCAGTCAGTTAGCAGTGACTGCAGGAGAATAAGGACTCACTTGGCAGCAGCCACTTTTATGCATAGACAGTATTATTTATATATGGAGATGTGTACATGCCTGCAGACACAATGCTCGCACGTACACATCACAACGCAGGCAGCCAAGCAACCAACCCGACAGAGAGACAGTCAGAGAGACAGTCAGTCATAGACAAATGCAAATCGAGTCAGTGCGCGTTGCCTTCATTGAAAGTTTAGATTCTTTTCTTATTAATATTTAAAAAGTTCGCAGCGAACCAGCAAATTGAAGCAGCCTGACGCACTGCGTCTTATAACACATTCAAAATATGCACCAGGCAGTCGGATTACAACAGCAGAGAGTTTCTCAATTATTCTGGCTCAGCTCGAGTGCTTAAATATTACACTTAGCAAACAATAATTTGAGCTGCTACGAAAACATAGTTGAAATTATCAACTGTGCGGAGGGTGGCAGAAGGAGTGGGAGAGTGAGAGAAGGAGAAGGAGAGAGAGAGAGAGAGAGAGAGAGAGAGAGAGAGAGAGAGAGAAAGAGAGTTAGAGAGAGTGAGAAAGAGCTTAGATTATAAATTATTTGGAGCAAGGCAGAGAGAGGGAGAATATAGTTTAAATTACAGATTGTTTGGAGAGAGACAGAAGGAGAAAATGAGAGGGAGAGTGAGGTAGAGAGAGACTGAGACAGAGTTTAGATTATAAATTGCTTGGAGCAATAGAAGGAGAGGGAGGCAGAGAGACTGCGGAGGAATGAGAAAGGGAGAGTGAAAGACCTAGAGATTATAAATTGTTTGAAGAGAGGCATTGTGTGTGAGACAGAGAGAGATAGAGCGACAAACACATAGCTTATAATATACTTAGTTTGGAGAGAGGCAGAAATAGAGAGAGAGAGAGAGCGAGAGAAAAAGAAGATGAGAAAGAGAGAGAAGCAGCTTAACTAATAAATTCTTTGTAGAAAGACAGAATGTGAGTGAGAGAGAGTGATAGAGGGAGAGACAATGTAAGTGAGAGAGAGTGATAGAGGGAGAGACAAAGCTTATACATATTATAAATAAGCGGCAGCGGAAATCGGCAGATTGTGATAGAGGGAGACAGACTTGAATTCAATTATAAATAGTTTGGCAAGAGCGAGAAGGGAACTGGTAAAGGGAGAGGGTGCTACACACTCTGAGAGGGAGAGCGAGACAGAGGGACTCCCTCAAAATCTTGACTTCCTATATTTTCTAGACTTTAGCTTAAAATATTGAATACGCCCGCAGGGCAGCCAAAAGTTGCAGGTGTCAACTCGATTCAACTTTCGAGAGTCTTCCCATCACTTCAATACATAACTTCTTCAATAACATTTTTTTACCTATGCAGTTTGATTTTTATTTGCATTTCTTCTTTTTTAAATGTTTTTTTTTTTTTTTTTTTTTTTTTTTTTGTATTTCAAGCATAAAGTTTGAACGTAGCCCTTGTGCGTGCACTTGTCAGTCTCCATTTCTATTCTCCTGTTTTTCTTCCTTGAAACTCTGTCGACAACTGCAGTGCATTGTGCCCATCTGACAGTAATACATACACATACACACACACACACACACACACACACACACACACACACACACACACACACACACACACACACAAGCATGTGTATTTACATGCTTACATTTCATACAAGCATAAGAAAATATTTGCACTTACATAGTTTTTGCGCTTCTCTCTCACTTCTCTCTCTCTCTCTCTCACTCTCACTCTGTTGTTCGCTTTTTTTCTGCCCCCTTTTTTCATATGCGCCTTACTTCTCAACTCGTGTGTACTTTTGTCTGGTTTCCTTTCCGTTTTGGGAGCTTGCTTTCTTCATTTTTCTATCCCTTTTGCCTGTTTTCGTTTCGTTTTGTCTTTGTTCCCCTTTGATGGCTGCCAAAGCGTAGAATTTTGTGTGCGTTTGCTTTGCAACATCTTTACACACACACACACACACACAGACACACACACACACACATACATATAGATATAAGCAGCAGCAAGAAGTTGAAGTCAAAATTTGCATGCTTTAAGCAGCTTTAACAGGGCCCTCAGCTCAGATTTGGGCCAGCTTTAAGGAGAATCTTTAATTGTGGCCAGAAGCTGAAATTCACGGTTTGCAGAATTGAGCAGAAATGTTTCATCAATTTTGATTGTTCGACTCCTATCGCTAGCCTGTCAGCATTTTCCTTTCTGATTCAAGTCGATTTTCGGCGCTTTGTCAAATTTGCGTTGCTGATTGGCATTTAGCGATAAGCGGAATGGCAACGGCACTTGATAAGGCGCACTGCCGCAGAAGGCGAAAGAAAGAGAGAACGCGAGGCACGAGACTCGGTTCGGCTGGTGGGAGCTCCTTTTATGAACTATGCAAAACATTTGCCAGCTAAGCCCCTGCAGCTAAGTTGTTCGCTTCTATTTACATTGTGTGCATATTTAAGCTCATTTCATTTGCGTTTCAATTTGTTAGGCAAACAGTAAAAGCAGCTCTGCACGCTGCAGGCTGGAACTATATGCTAAAATACACACGCACACACACACACACATTCTCACACACGCACACATATGCACTTTGGCACTCAGGTCTGTGTGGGCAACTAATTATATATTAATTTGAGTGGGTTCAAGATGTGAAATCATGAAATAAGAGAGCTGGAAAACGGCAAAAAAAAAAAATGGAATTTAAATATGCAGCTATATTGTTTTGTAGGCTCAGGATCCATCTAGTAGATTGGATCTTGACTGATAGTCCATCAAATATCTCCTTTAACTCATAGTTGCATCCTGTTCTACAGCTCCTGGAACCATAGATGACATCAGCGATAGTATCGATGGTCATTCATGTTTGCGATTGATCGATAAACTCAGTGCGATTGGTATGTCATCTCGATTTTCATATATCTTAATAGATAGCTGCAACAACTTTGTTTTAGGGATCAAAATTAATAAAATTAAAAGAGTATTTTGTCTAATAAATTTGCAAACATTTTGTAATTTTTTAAAGATTCGATTTTTTTTGTTTTTTATATATATGCATATTTAAATGTTTTTTTATTTTTTATTTAAATATATATATATATATATATATATATATATATATATATATATTTTATTTATTGATAATTATTTAATTTTAAAAATTGTATCGTATACTTTAGCTATTGAAATTTTAACTGAAAACTTGAAGTTTTCCTTTGTTTTCCTTAAGAATTAGGTGTACAAAAAAGCGATGAAATTATCTGCAATATCGTTGGCTGAAACTATAGATTAGAGTCACTATCGATGGTTTTATAGTAGTTCTGTAATATCCCGGAAATTATGTGTTCCGTTTCCACCCCTTTACGAAGGCTTTATTTACTTAATAATAATAATATACTTCTCTGGAGTGTAAGCTAATAAATAAATAAATGTAAATAAAATATATATATATTTTTGTTTATTATTTTATTCAAACAGGCTATAAATAAAATAGAACCGTAAATTTCAATAACTGAGCCTAGAAGTAGGCAATAGAAAAAGTGAGCTTTAAGATCTTATGAACGAATATGAATAGAATCAATAATGGAGGCTTATGAGCCACATATTTGGCCATAGGAACTAAATCATAGGAAATAATATAAATGCATATGTAATTCCATCTAATAACGATTCTAAGAGTTTATGAAAACGTCTTCAAAATAAGCACGAGCTGCACCTTTCTTGTTAACATAGAGCTTAATTAGCTTTCGGCTCGCATGAATACGATTTCACAGGCTTTCAGAAACTCAACTCAAACTGATGGGATTACATAAGGATTCATAAGCTTTTCGCTATAAATTCAAATGAAGTTTTTCCAAATTTTTAACAAATTCGCTTATTCGAAAAGGTGTTTTGCCCAGCCCAGGCCAGTTCGGAGATAGTTGATGTGCGAAAGAAAAGTTTTTCTACAAAATATAGTACCTGTATCCGGTTCAGCGAAGGGCAGCGAGGGTCTATATATGCGTGTGTGTGTGTGTGCGTGGGTGTGCATTGGGTAAGCCATTCGTGTAGTCGGCTTGGACATTTTGCAAATTTATTACATTGCACCGCCAAGTTTCGCGTGTTTCGTTTCGTGCGCCTACACTCCACTTAACGGCAACGGCAATGGCACCACCAGCACCACCACTCAATCAGTCAAAAACCGCCCACCCGCTGTGCACACAGCGCACCACGCGAATCCACGCGTTCAATTCGCTTTTTGGCCAGTCGCCAAGTGCAACTTTTGCACCTAAGAAAATGTGCAGCGCACCGCGGGCCACAATTTTTAATAAGTGCAGCCCCAAAAAGTTGGCATCCACATTGGCGTTGCCATCGACAGAGGCAGAGCGCAGCAGCAGCGGCGGCAGCAGCGACGTTGGCGTTGACAAGGCAAAATGCCAAATGCCGCGACTTAAAACGAAAACATCAACATTGCTGGCCATTGGCAGTCCTGCTGTCCTGGTGTCCTGCTGGCCCCGCTTTGCATCCGTATCAGCACAGCAAGCGAGCGAAAGAGAGAGAATGGCAGAGAGAGTGAGCGTAAAGGGGGGGTGTGAGAGGGCGAGCGAGTGCGGATTGTCCCTTCCAACATTTTCCTGGCCTTCCTTTTGATTTCACACGCTGCTCTGCAATTTTGCCTATGCTTCGGGAGCATTGACCGGCCACAAAATGCACCAGCACCCGCCCCGCACCCACAGTCGAAACACACAGCTGCGCCAGGCTCGACAAGCCCGACAGAACCAGCAGAGCCCCCTCCCCTTCCCTCACCAACTAGAGAGCCCGCCCAGCCGAATGGCAGCCGCATCAGTTGGCCCAACGTTGCGTAATATACAAAAATCACAGGAGACTAAAAGTCGAAAAGCCAAAGAGCCCAAAGAGCCCGAAGAGCCCGAAGAGCTCGAAGAGAGGGCCACTTTTAAAGTTGGTGTCTGATAAAATATAAATATATATATATATATATAGAATTTAAGGCACTTGTAGCAAAACCTTTCAAGCGCCACGAAATAATCTGAATAAATTAGTAATTAAATCAGAGCTGGCAACGGTGCGTATGATTTATATCAACATTGCTTACGGATTAATAAACCAATCATAGCATCGATAAATAATTATTGCAATAAAATAGTAAAGTAGAAGCAGCAGCATGAATAAATTATATGAATTGAGGCGTAACACGCTGACAAGTGCTCAAATCAAATGTAATTTGAATAAATAACATAATATTTACCAGAAATTGAAATAACATCACGATGAAATTGTAATTATGCTCAATGTTTGCTAATGATGACTTCTAAACCATTGCAGTTGAAGCAAATGTAATTTAAAAATAAATGTGTAATTAAATATGCGAATTTTGTTGACATTTAAATGAAACGTCAAATAAAAACTTAAATTACATATATATTAAATATATGTATGTACATGAATCAGTAAAGAGTTTACTTAATTGCTTTAAATAATTTAATATATTAAAACAAATATAAAAAAAAAGATCAATGTATAAAATAATAATTCAATATATTAAAACAATTATAAATACAAAATATTTAATACATGAAATAATAAAAATTATATATATGAAAATATGCTTAAATAAAAAGTATCTAATATAATCAATATTTAATAATATCAATTTAAAATATCAAGAATGTTTAAATAAAAAATATTAAATATTAATAATTATGATATAATATAATATTAATAATAATTTGGGATAATAAAGATGTAAAAAAAATATTAACTATGTTTAAAATGATATTAAATTAATATGTTACGAAATATTAGAAAAAAAAAAAACAAGATATTTATTTTTAAAAAATTTAAATAAAAAGTATCTAATATAATCAATATTTAATAATAACAATTTAAAATATAAAAAATGTTTAAATAAAAAATATTAAATATTAAGATATAATATAAAATTAATAATAATTTGATAAAATAATGATGTTAAAAAAATATATATTAACTATGTTTAAAATATTATTATATTAATATGTTACAAAATATTAGAAAAAAACCAGATATTTGATTTTGAAAAATTAAAAAATATTTCATAATACATATTTAATTTAAAAAATTATTTCAAGGAATTAAAAACACGATTTGCTGGTTCATGAATTTATTGCATTGAATTCAGTTTGCCCTTTCATTAATATTTAAAAAAAAGTCTCTCAAGCAACTCCTATCTGCAACTTTGTTCAAATAAATATATATTTTTTTAATCAATTTGAATGAGACTATAATTAAATTGAAGCAGCATTGATGCACGGCTTGATGTTTACCTAATTTAATATTACGAATTATTTATTTATTTAATGCAGACATTGCTGCTTACCTAATTTATTTATTTAAAGTCAAAGCAGAGTATTTTTTAAAGCTTCAATTTCGAGTCTCACTCTATTTGTTGTTGTTGTTGTTGTTGTGTGTATTTATTTCTATAATATTCGCGCTGAACAGCATTGAGAGTTTCATTTATTCGCGGTTTACGTTGATTAAGTCAAAGTAAATACGAAAGCTACGGTCCTTGCTCTGGCTTCCAGCGCCATCAGCTCCTCCTCCTCCGAGCACCACCTGGCACCTTTGGCAGCGGAGTGACGAGGTAGAGGGAGGGAGGTTGGGAGGCAGGGAACCGTTTTCAATTGCTTTTCATGTGCGTTGAGACGCAAAAGTCAAAGCTCTGGGTTCAATGAATGCTGAGAGCTGCCGCAGTGAACTTTAAGCGAGCCAAGCCGCAGGAGTGGAGGGGGTGAGACTAGGGTCCGGGGGGGCTGGTGGCTGAGGGTGGGTCAACAGCCAGCCGGCTAGATTAGTGAACGAGTGATAAATCTTTATCACTTATTCAACAAACAGCGCCCAGTGCCGGCTAAATTGATTAATTGCGCAAATAAACGCGCGACGAGTCGAGACGCGTCTCATCTTCACTTATCTCAATTCGTCGGCACTCAGCACTCAGCACTCAGCACTCAGAGCGGCTCTCACAACATTTGCCGCGGGCCCTTTAAGCCAACAACTTGGCCACAAATCAAAGTAGCCCCGCGGACTGACTAAACGCTGACAACTCTCGTCACGTGCCGCACAACGGAAATAATTTATCAAAGTGGGTTTATATTAAATAATGACTAGATGACACCAATAACGATGCCCATAGCCAGCCGGCATAATTAGTATACATTCTGTGAGCGCGAGAGGGTGGAGGGGGGATTACGAGTGCAAATTAAAAAACGACAGAAATAGATTATTGATGGGTCGACGCTCTTTTGACTGGATTGAATTGAGTTGGTATGGGTTGGTATGGGTTGGGTTGGGTTGGGCTGGGGGGTAATATTAAGGAATTACATTTCATACACTTGTAAGGTCTGTTGTCTTCTTCTTCATCATCTTGTTGTTGTTGTTGTTGTTGTTGCCTGTTGGCCAGTAAATATTTACATTGGCCTAAACCAATTACGAGCGCACGCCCCCAAAAATGGGAGAAAAACCAGAATAAAAACCATTTAGTTGGCAAGGCTCAAAGGGAAATTATGTGCACAACTGGCGAAGCGCTTTTCATTTTATTTTATTTTTCTCTTCTTCTTGTTTTTTGTTAATTAACTCAGTTAAAAGTGCGCTAAACAAATTGCAAGGGGTATCTTTTTGTTTTTCTTCTTCGTCTACTTTTTTTTTTTTTTTTTTTTTTTTTTTTTTTTTTGCTTATTTTTTGCGGCTCTTAAAAAGTTATGAACGCTTAGCGGAAAAATTTTAAGACCTTCCGAGATAATTAACCAAAGCATAAGCCCATTTTCCAAGTATTTGAGTAGGCCAACAAAAACGTAGCATACATGAGCTGCGCCTTACGGAGGGACTGTCTGAAGCGATGTCAACTCTGTGTGTGTGTGTGTGTGGGTGGGTGGAGAGAGCGAGAGTGAGAGAGAAAGAGAGGGCTCAACTAAGTGATATCCTGTAAGTGGCGTGGGTAATATAATAATATAATATAATAATAT